AGCAACTTTCTTTTTGTTAAATTTCTTTCCTTTTCTGGATATCACATAACTTCATGGCTATGTCTTGTGACTTATTAACAAATGTGGTCCTAGCAGAGATAGATTCCTCCTGTGAGTTTTAAACTTGTGACCTTGTGCCTGTGATCTGGGGGCACTAACCACTACGCTACGGATCTACAGGTCTTAAAATACTCATTTTTCTGAATAATGCATATACAAATTCCTGGCTATTTCTATAAATCCAGGTAAGTTTCGAGTAGGAATCAAATCTGAGTAAGATTCAGCTTCTAATCTTTTGTACTTTATTATAATTAGAAGTCTAATCTTATCCCGATTTGATTTTACACAAAATTTATCAGAATTCAATGGAAATTACCAGGAACTTATATATGGTTTGTTCTAAAAAATGATAATTTTTTGGAAAGATAATGGAATAGTAATCTGGAGAAAGTTGGGATACGTTTTTTCAAAATTTTTTTATAGAGTATGATTAGGCTCTGTAGCTGCAATAGCATAAATTAATCAAAATTCAACCAAATAGAAACAAACGATAATGAGGTTCATACTTATTGAATATGGTTAAGTATATTGCATAGTTTAAAACTTTTTTTGAAACAAAAGAAGCAATTATATAATCTACCCTAAGCCATACCTCATTAAAAAAAAGATAATGCTAACTCTTTCCTGCTAAATCCTATACAATATTGTCCATGTATACTTTATTTACAATTTAGTTATATCTACAATTTACAAATCAAAAGAATAGAAATCTTTAAAACACAGAACAATTGATGAAGTACAAGGTGAAAAGATTCATTTAAAGAACGTATGTATGTACAATAAGTAGATGGAGGTCTATCTGATAGAATTAAATGGTGCTAATTATTATAGCTAATTACTCAATAATAACTGACACACATTCAAAATATGCTATAAATGAAACTGTTATGTAAATATTATAAGGTTTAACAAATAAGAAACATGAGCAATAAACATAAAATTTACTATTGTAAATATATTTTTAATATGCAAACAAGTTTCACAGGAATATGTTCGTTATCTAACAACTATAGTCAGTATTATGACTCAGACAAAATGGCATTTCAGGAAGTTAACCTATAACCGGAAAAAGTAATTATATTTATAAGTTAAATATAATAATTGACTTATTATAGTTTGGTAGGTTTTTGATAAGTTTTACCTTTAGCCTAGATTTATTGGTTTTTATTTTTAATTTTATTGATTTCATCAATTGTAGTTTTGCCACAATTCACCGGTTTTACCAATTCATCCTTTTAAGTTTTTGATGAAGACTTTTTAACTTGTACCAGTATGAACTTTCTAGATTTCACGCAATGGCTTTATTTGGATCTTTGCTTTTGCTGGTTTTAAGTTTTGTCATTTATCATCATTCGGAAAAGGCTTCGCCTAACAAGTCAAGTATAATTGACTTTTCTTGATAAAAAAAAACCCCCCAAATTAATAGCAAAATTATAAATTTACATTCGGAATTACAGTACATCAAAAACGTAGTTTTTATGCATAATGTGCTTTTAATGATCGACAATTCTACAATTCTACATTTGTAGAATTGTAGATCGGATGTAGAATAAATTCTACACGTGTAGAATTGCCGATCCATAATTAGAATTGTAGAATTACTAAATTTATTAATGATCATCAATTCTACAATTCTACATTGTGGAATTGTAGTAATTACGTCAATTATACAATGTCATGCATGTAGAATTGTAGAATTACTAAATTTATTAACGATCACCAATTCGGATGTAGAATTAATTTTGCATGTGTGGAATTAATTCTCCTGACGATTATTTTAGGTTTCTGTGCATTTTACAAAATTTCGCTTAAATTAGATGCTGATCATATCCAAAAAGACAATTAAATAAAAAAAAATGCCAAGCGTTGCACAAAATTGGAAGTGACGCACTTAAATTAGTTGCTATTTTTTTCTCGAAAATTACACAATTTATTTAATGCTTAAAGCTCCGCATTAGTGCGACGCTTTAATTTGCTAACATAAAATTAATAACCATAAATGTGCGTATACAAGACCGGGTCTGGTATATTTCACCAATTTTAAAACTTTAATAAATCCGGGGTCTGTTATACATTAGTCTGATTACTGGGGGAAGCTTTTATGAGAAGGAAATCCCGTAAACATGCGTATACAAGTCTCGGGTCTGATACATTCCACAAATATTAAACCTTTAATAGACCCAGGGGTCTGTTGTACAGATATTAGTCTGATTAGTGGGAAGCTTTTATTTAAAGGAAATCCCGTACGTACGTAAATGTGTGTATACAAGACCCGCGTCTGATTTGTGGTAGGTCTAACTACTACTTCAGGGGATCTTGTATGTAACGTACAGTCAGACCTAAAATGCAATCCTTATAAATTCACGTTCTACAAAAAAGCCCTCTAAATTCAATTCCACTAAATACACGCTCTATTAAATGCATGTTTTCACTTGGTCCTAACTAATATAATATTTATTGATTTTTGCTTAAATACAATACCTCAATAATTCACGTTTGGTCAATTTTGCATATGCTCCATCAAAAGCATTTCGAGGTCTAATCACGCAATAACTTTTAAATGATTATATCCCTTTTAACACCAAAACAAAAGATTAATTAGCTTAGTACAAAATGAGCGTTCAATTTAGTACACAAACTAATAGACACTTTGTACGAAATTGAATGTACATTGAATGTCACTTTGTACTAAATTAATGCTAAAAGGGATAAAAATTTGTTAAGCGTTCTAGAATTATAAATAAGACCTCTCTACATGGCAACGAGAAAATATATCATTCAGTCCCTCCTATTCGAATACATTTGTAATTAATAAAAATGATAATTAAATATATTTTTTTACTTGTCCTGTTAATTTCGACAGTTTGTAAATCCTTTGTGGTGAACAACAATAAAGGTCTCGTAATTCGCTCTGCAATACCAATCGATAATAAAACATATGAAAATTGGAATGGTGAAATTAAGTTTTCTCCAAATGCCATTTTTTTACCGTCGACACTTCAAGACCTTATAGATATTGTAAAATTAGCAAAGACAAATAATAAAACTATTCGATGTGCTGCTCAAGGACATACCATAAGTACTCTGTCTGTTACAGAAAATTATCTTGTAGTAGTTACAAGTTTAACTAAA